ATTTCTTTAAGACATGATATGCTTGGTGATGCAGCTTATACCGATTCGTTGGGTAAGTCATTCATTTGCTCTCCTGAAAGGATCTTTTATGCATATTATACTGGGGCACCTGTCCAACCAATTGAAGAAGGTATGTCATCCAGAGACCAGGTCCAAGACTGGATCAATTCAAAGACTATTATGCTCACATCATATCAGAGGGGAATTCTCTTGCACACTCGAGAATCAAGACTACAGAAAGTCGTCAGAATCAGCAAGTCCATACGGAGTCAAGTCTCCTCAACAGTGACAATAATTGGTTCTCTTTACTGCATTTTCATTTGCATTCTTACTTGTTTGTTTAAGCATTGCTTGTATATGGAAACTTGTCTATTTTTGAATAAAAAATCTTAATGTAATAGGTATGTGTATCTTGAAGTATTCCTTTCATTTTTATTAATCCATTCGTTATCACTCTTTAAATGTTTTACTTGCATATTGATTTCCTAGTCTTATGCTTAGGTAAAGATTGGAAGGAGGATGACGATAATCTAAAACACAAAAATCTCTGGTTGGTATACTTTTGAGTAAGACCCTGCTGACGATGTACATGCCTTGTTTCAAATCCCTAAACACCAGAGATATAAGGGAGATAAACCCTCGTTAACCCCTCTGAGCCTTCGAAGTAGGAGTTTCTTTTCTGTTCAGAAAAAACCCTCATTTTAACCCTGGGGCGGGTAGTGTTCAGTTAATCTGATCAAGCATTCAGAACTCATCAAGAGTGTGCATCCAAGGATACAACAATGGTTAACCATCAAAAGGTTGAGAAAAGTCAAAACCACAATGGTTAACCCTCATCTAACAACAACGTGCGTCTATTTGATTATATCCCAATGGGTATCTCTCGCACATCAGGAGGTCAACAAATGACGATACTATAATGGCTATCCATCATTTACTAAAGACTCGGACAGTCACAATCACTTCTAAGAAATCAAGGACAATGCAAAGATCAATGACTTGTTCAAAATGGAAAATACGAATAAGAAAGAAACAAAACCCCCCGCTAAGTCGAAGCTTGAAAACAAGTCGCTTAGGCAAAAATTGGGGCATCCCGCTGGACTTCCAAATCGAAATTCAAAAGAATTTGTCCAGGAAAAAATTAGGGAAAACAAGAGGGAAATTGAAAAGACTAAAAGGCAAGAAAAGGATTACCAATGAAAATCCTCATCAAAGAACAAAGTCATCTGATCAGACACCAAAGGAAAAGAAGTTAGCGACTGTCGTGTCCAAGAAACCACTGTGGTTCCTCAATCATCGCAAACTCTTCTCGAGAGATGAACGCTTGTGTCAGGTCAACTAAATGTAGGAATGGAGAACATCATGGAGAATGGGTGGGCACCAAATAATTTTTAGCCTTAAATCCTTTTTTCTAAAACCATGAACCAGACCAGGTTACAACCCATAAAAGTCCTAAGTGAAGCATGAGTCAATTCGAAAGCATGCTACAACGAGATAGCGTTTAACTGACTCCTAAGAGATACGTTCCAATATCTGTGTTGGCATCATATGCTTGCATTACCTTTCATAAAAAAAGAATTTGCAAATGTTTCTCTCTAGCTAGTGACTCGTTCACAACAGAGTTGTGATGTCATTTCATTCAAAGTTTTTTCAATCTTCCAGACTTACATATGTGTTACATTAGAATTATCATTCTCATAATAAACATTTTTCTGCATACAAAACAACTGATCGACATCAAGTAAGTTTACACAATGAACAATCAGGTAAAGAGCTCAATCTTGTCAGAGAAGAGAGGCTTGAATACCCGTTGGAGCAAGAGTCAGCTGCCACAAGAGAAATGACTTATCCAACAACATAATAATCAGTGATTTTCTCAAGAGAAATCATCTTAGTGCTTCACAGTCTGAGTACCCTTCAGGGATGAAGTTAGCAGATTCCGCTAATCTGGGGCATTCCCTCAAAGCTGTCAATCAGAGGCTATCACATCGATAAATATCTCCAAGCTCAGCCAAATCTGGGGCATTCCCTCAAAGCTGTCAATCAGAGGCTATCACGTCGATAAATCTCTTCAAGCTCGATCAATCAGAGGCTATCACGTCGAGAGATCTATTCAGAATTCATTTAACCTGGGGCAGTTACGTCAAAATTCGACAAATCTCTCCAAGAAAGCTGTAATCAAGAGAAGTTTATTTCGTGACTCAAGACATTGGAGCAGGCCACCTCATATCGTATTATGGAACGAATATTATGGTCTCCTATTTAACATAGATCTTCTTAGAGATCCTCCAGACAGGGGCATTCCTCATCCTTACTTAGTTGCTCAAGCCAATTATGTTGCACGAGACCACTACAATCAGTTAGAAGCATCATAACAGTCACCCTGACTTAGCCAGTGCATGAAGGTGCCTTCATCTGCTGCACACAATTTCAAACCTGATTCCCTAAGTGAATTCAGAAAATTCAGAGTCGTCGTTTGACTCAGCTTGCGCAAGTGTATCCTCAGTGGAGTTAATCAAGAACATCCCCAGTGAAACTAAACTGGGGCATTCGCAAAGCTAAACCGGGGCATTCGCAGAGCTAAACCGGGGCATTCGCAGAGCTAAACTGGGGCATTTGTAGAGCTCAACCGGGGCACTCGTAAGTGTCCACGCCCATCTCTTATCCCCAAGTGATTCAAGAGATAATTCCCAAGTGTGTGTAAACTTGGGGCAGGCATTCAAATAGATCCACATGGTGTTCAGTATCCATTCTTCGGCATATTCAATTCTATCCTCCTCTTCTTCAGTTCAGGATGTATGGAAGTCTGACTAGATTATCTCTTCCCAAATGGTGCGATTCAGAATCCAGCATCGTACCTGAAGACTCGCTTCATCGGGAATTCGATCTTCAGCAAAGTCAACAACGATCTTTGGTCTTCAAGAGCTCCCCAGTGCAAACTTATATCAGTATCCCCAACAACCTTTGATACTGCAGTCTTCCAACTTCGATATATATCGACATCCCCAGTGATGAGAAATGGTTCACAGCAAGCCTTCTCTTATCCCCATGAAGTTTATTTCTTCACACTGCATATAGTTATCACTGCATAACATTACATCCTCAAAAGTGCGTAGCCGATCCATCAGAATGGATCTTTGCGGAAAAATAAATTCAAACATGCATACGAAGCATAAGCCAGATCTGGTACCTTTTACACAAAAGACCTTAATTATTCAAGGACAATAATACATCCCTACAGGAGGGTATCATGCCCAAAGTCCCCAGTCGGTGACCTTCACCTTTTCAATGCCCAAAGTCCCCAGTCGGCGACCTTCACCTTTTCAATGCCCAACAAAACCAATACACTTTGTCGTTCTAAACCCAGTTCTTGTCTGGTAGTCAGTTCCCTAAACACTCGTCCGTGTGCATTCCTAAACACTCATATGTGTCAGTCTCTCAAACACTCGTCCGTGTTTACCTTTTGATACTCGTCTGTATCTTCTTTCAATACTCGTCCGTATTGATTCAATCACTCGTCCGTGTTTAAACTTTTGATACTCACCTGTATCTTCTTTCAATACTCATATGTATTGACTCAAACACTCCTATGTGTTTAACCTTTTTATACTCGTTCGTATCTTCTTTCAATACTCGCCCGTATTGAATCAAACACTCGTTTGTGTTTAAACTTTTGATACTCTCCTGTATCTCCTTTCAATACTCGTCCATATTGATTCAAACACTTGTCCGTGTTTAACTTTTTGATACTCGTCCATATCTCCTTTCAATACTCGTTCGTATTGATTCAAACACTCATTCGTGTTTAACCTTTGATACTCGCCTGTTTTTTCTTTCAATACTCGTCCGTATTGATTCAAACATCCGTTCGTGTTTAACCTTTCTTAATGCTCGTACATTTCACTTATCTAAACAATCGTCATGTCGTAACCCATGTTTCCTTCGTTGAACCTGAGATCGCCCGTAGGCTAGGTTCTTCCCATAGATCTTCGTCGAACCTGAGATCGCCCGTAGGCTAGGTTCTTCCTTAGATCATCTTAGAACCTGAGATCGCCCGTAGGCTAGGTTCTTCCCATAGATCACCGTTGAACTTGAGATTGCCCGTAGGATAGGTTCTTCCCATAGATCATCGTCGAACCTGAGATTGCCCGTAGGCTAGGTTCTTCCCATAGATCGTCGTCGAACCTGAGATCACCCGTAGGCTAGGTTCTTCCCATAAATCATCATCGCCTCTGGGCTAGGTTCTTTCCATATATTTTTTCTTAGAATCTGAGATCGCCCTTAGGTTAGGTTCTTTGTCAAATCACTCTCATTTTTCACCCTAGGATCATAGGTCGCCCGTAGACCTGGTCCGCTGTCTTTTCATGCCAACCATTTGTCTTGTTTTGGCATCACGCCGCGTTACAAGTCTAATCTTCGTCTCTTCATTGAAAAAAAAGGGGATTCTTCCCCCGGCAAATAGAAAAATACTCGCATTATCTCCCAGAATAAATTTTTGGCATTGGTATTTAATCATCTTTAATCTTAAACTTCCTAAAGGCATGCACCAATCGTACTTTCAAATTTAAGACGACTAAATAAGGGAAGTTGTAATACCCCTAATTTGTCCTAGCCCTTTGCTTTTATCTAGCTTACGCATCTTACACTCTTCATTTCATCTGCATACCCTATGTTATGTTATTTTGCACGTCACGCATCATTAGTCAATAATTTGGCATGGGATTGAGGATATTGAGGAATTTTGGTCTTTTCGTGCTTTTAGGTTCTCATCTTTATACAAGATTGGATCAACATGGTTCTTTATCAATCAGGGTTTGAGGGATTAGAATTTGTGTTCATGGTCGTTGGGAATTTCCTATTTTGTTAAGATACTTATTTTCATCAAAAGACAAAGCCACCTTTCCGAGTTGCTTCAATAAGCAGACAAATTAGGGTTGCGAGTTGTCAGGGTTTACATTTCATCATGGTTGAGTTTTTCTGAATTCAATTGAATGTTCATTATGCTCCAAAGTGGGTTTGGTATAATAATTAGACTCCAAAGTGGTTATGGCATTACTCGGATTTCAAGTCATTATGCAAATGAGGGAATAAGAATGAATCAAGTTGCTATGGATAAAGAAAGTACTTACAAGGAAGTCATACGTTTGAATTAGGGTTTTATTATTGGTGGCACAAGGTAGTGGTGGGTCTAATACACCATGTCACTCGAGATCGGTGTCTTCTCATTGATCATGAAGGTCTTTATTTCAAGCTCAAGCATGGCTACTTATGTTGCTATATATCACAAAGGGAGTATGCTGAAACAATATTTAACGAAGTCTTATGGAAGTCTCTTTCATTCTGACTATGGAGTGTTTGGCATTACACGAATAATGGAATCATATTACGCTTGGCATTTACGCCATTGAAGGATTATTCAAAGTTAAATTCCATGGAAATATAAAAGATGATACTTTGAGCACTTAAGAGAATTGATATTGAATTCAAGATATTCAGTACCCCTAATTTCATCACGCTATCAAACTGTCTGCGGAGTTCAATTTAAAATAAAAGAAAGAAATAGGTGAAGCTTCCCCATTAGAGTCCAAGTTTCATACAAGAGTTACTCAAAAAAGGAATATACAATTTGAGAGAAGGTTTTACGAGGAAAGAATTACAAGATATTATCCTACAAAATCTAAACATTATGTATAACTTCATGTTTCTTCCACACTTAAATCCATAGTTCTCATGCTTCTGACTTTTACCCTCTTGATTAAATCTTCATCCTTCATGACCAAAGCTCAAAGCATATTGCACCCTTATCTCATCAGAATACTCAGCTTTGAATTATCCATGCTTTCAAATTTCTCCAAAACAAACCTGCAATCAAGAAATGAGACCAAAACAGTGGCATATGAGTAAAGAAATAAAAGCTACCGAATTCGTTTAAGGGCATATCTGAATGGTTGATCTTCAAAATCATGCTACGAAAGCCAGTTCAAGAATGCAAATCAACTTTCTGCAGTGCATAAGAGTCAGATCTTTACCAATGTTGAACCTTCTCTGCCAAGAATCTTAATTACACATAGCCTTCGAATTACCACTGCTCCTGCAAGATTTGTGGGAAATGGTCTTCGGATGGTTGAGTTGTCTTGGAAAATAGCGGTTACTGAAACATCATTGAAACATCATTTGGCAAGCAGTATGTAGTTAAATTCAAGTCTTATAGCAGGGAAATTTTTGTGACAAAAGAGAATATAAGGCAGGGCATCAATACAAAAATAAATTCACTAACTAACTAGTCCATTTGCCTCCTTAACCAAATTCCAACACATAGAACTTCAACAGAATTTAACAAAACTGTCATAACAGCTAACAAACCCCCTAACCAACTAACAGTCCAAAATTCTAACTACCGGCTCATTGTAACTTCTCTAACTTCTAACCAACTTACAGCAATATAACATGTAACTGAATAACAAACTATCTAATTGTCATATAACCACTCCATAACCAACTGTAACATAAAAATAAAAAAAACAGAAACAACCCTCAACTGTCCAAACCAACTAGCCTATAACCTCACCAACCAACCGAAAATAATAGAAATTCAGTAACCAAAGGCCAAGATTAAATTCATTTTCTAACTAATTTTCAGATCTAACAAAATATATAAAACATAAATTTTGACCTGAAGAATTTCATTCATCAATTCTGCAGAAGAATCTTCAAACTTCTCTCTGCTCCTCTCACCTTCATTCTTCAATTCTCTGAAGAATCACAGAACAAACTCTCATCTTCTCTTTGCTTTTCTTCTTCAACCTTCCATAATTCTTCATTCTCTTAAGAAGAATCGCCGAAAAATCCCAAGAAACACTCTCTACGCCATAACCACGTCTTCTCTTCTTTCTTCATCATCACAAACTTTCTCTCCTCCTCTCATATTTATCCTCATCGTGCTTCATCTTGAGGAATCACCAGAAATCAGAAAACTCAACTCTGAATTCTCTCAGAAATTGCATAATTATCATATACTGCTTCATCGATTCTTCATCATCTTCTACAATTTCCTCACGGTTCTCCAAGCCTCGTCGCTTCAATTTCCTGTAACTAACATCGTCAAACATCTCTTGTACAACAACAACTTCACATCTTCAATTTTCCTCACTGCAAACAAGCAACAACAACAACATCACTGCGCAGCCGCAACTTCAAACAACGACGCAAAAACGAGAAAAAGAAGAGGCGAAAAAGAGAGGAGTTAGAGAAAATATTGGAATATCGAATTCATACCTGAATAAAGAATCGAACATATCTCGATTCCTGATCATCATCTTCGGTATAACGAGCGGTCGGAGCTACTCCGGCAGCCTCTAGGATTTTCAATTATTTGGATGGATTTGGAAGGAACGACATAGAATTTGAAGAGATGAATGCGGAGATTGATAAGAAGAGTTATGGAGGCGGTGTTTTATGGTAGAGGAAAACGAATTGCAATGGCAGTTTGCAAGGTTAAGGATCCGTCGTGCCGTCTGAGTGAGAGAGAAGAAGGAGTTTTTCCTCGATGAATTCCTTCGCCACAAACTGTGTAACCCTAACTCCCCAAAGTGACATCATATTATTTTCTTTTGTTTTTAATTTTTATATTTAATTATTATTGAAACATAATCATGCTAGAAAATTGAAAAGGGCTTGGATTGATTGGTATTGTTGGCATTGGTGTGGACCGAACCACACATTCCCTTGAGGCCCATTCCTTGTTTCTCCTTCAGTATGATGGATTTGTGTAAACAAAAAAAATCTTTCTGGGCCATTCTTGGTTGGGCATCAGCGCCCAAGACTTCTCTTTGGCCAAATACACGCCTGACTACAGGCTACACCCCCTGATCCTCTTAATCTTTTTTTAATTTTAATGTTTTTTCTTATTTTTAATAACAAAATATATAATAAAAAATGGTAAAAAATATTAGAAAGCATTTTAGAAATTAATTAGGAATACATTTCTTCCTTTTTGCTAACTTTTTAGTCAATTTTAATCATTTGTTTTATTCATTTTATATCATGTATTTTGTTTGCGATTTTTGAGTATGGATCGTATGTAATACTTTAGTATTTGCTACCAATTTCACTTGTTTGTATAGTCTGTCAGGATCCCTTAGGATATTTTGTTCAAATTTAACCTTCTATTCAATTGAACAAAAATTGGACATTAGGATTATAAATCCAAGCATGCTAACATTAGGTAGAAATTCTCCCTTTCATCCAAACTATAGGTCTAACAACTCATGATAAAATTAGGTTTAGAAATAGACTAGTCTCCCTGTGACTTTTCTTTCCCTTTTCGCATATGCATTTAAAACAAAAACTTCTTTTTCTTTCAAAATTCAAAACACTTTAAAAAAAAACTACTGATGAGAATCATGCTTTTGCTTAGTATGGGAAATGATAAGCGGGTCTCTTCTCGATCTTATTGTTCTTCATCTCAAGTTTAGGTGTGGTTTAATTCTCAAAGACTCCTTTCATGGCTAAGTAGAAAAGTGGCTAATATCTCTCTCTTGAGGTCAATTAGTCATTATCTGAAACAAAAATATAAACCAACTCAAACCATTTTGTGCGCTCGAGCACCTTTTTCTAAGAAACCCTTTTCAGGTAAGGACATGATTAATTTACTTCTGTTCCAATGCATAAGTCTCCAAAGTTCGAGCTGCGGCAGAAGGCGGAATTAACTTCGTCCACAAAAAACACTAACAAACAAAAACATAAGAGCCGAACTACGGTAGCTCTGATTCCTAAAAACAGATATGTAGGCATTGGGGTAGGGCCCAAGCGAGCATAATTTTATTTTCCCTACATTATTTCCCCTTTCTTTTGCATACATTCTCCCCTTATAAATAATAAATAGTAAGCATAGATCAAACACACCCATAAGATAGATAACAAGAGTGGATACCGTAGAGTACTACGGGCGTGTGGGGTGCTAATACCTTCCCCTCGCATAACATACTCCCTTACCCGATCTCTCGTTCGCAAGACCGTGACTTCTCCCTCATCAGGTTTTCTCGATGTTTACCTTTCCCTACATGTGGGATAAAAGACGTTTGATGGCGACTTCATTGTTTGATGATTTTCAGCCGGTTGTTTCAGGAAGCAAATGGGATTCTCAAGCATGTGAAATGATGATATTTTGAGAGAATTCTTGTGAAGTTGCAAGCATGAAAAGTGTGACTCATATTTACTCAAAACTCATCCAAAACTAATGTTTCAAAGTGCTAATCGCTTCTGGAAGGTTGTTAAGCATGATTAGAAGGAAAAACGCGCAACAATTTTGTGATTAGAGGCCACATTAACCAATTTTAAATCTGACTGTTTTGACAAAATCAGTTTCAAGGTGCAAACTTTGAATCCATGGTGCACCCAACTCAAGAGGTTTCATCACATGAATATTTAAGCATTTGAAAGACAATGTCACAAACTTCACAGTGTTCCTAGAAAGACATCATTTGGATACTTGAGCAAAAATTTTTGTCCAATTAAAATTTGTGGAAAACACACGGATATTTTATACTTAGACAAAATTCTACGCGTTGAACTTCAAAATCACCTATAATGTTCTTCAAAATTAAATGACTTTCCACTCAAAATTTTGTCTTGATATCTAAAGATTACATGAAGTAGACCTCTTGAATTGAACTTTGGAATTGAGATCACTCAAAAATCATAAAAATTGAAAGAGTTATGGTCTTTGGAAGATGATGAACAAATTTGGGGAGATTCACAAAAGACCTATAATCTTTTCAATTTTTCAACAACTTTCCAAGAACCTTCAAGTCTTTCACATAAAAACAAAGTGGTAGTAGACATACCAAAGGTTATTATGGAAAAAGAATGGGCTCAAGGTGATAAAAATTGACCAAGTTATGATCATTTGAAGTCAAACCCTAAAATTTAAGGCCTTTCAAGGAGACTTGTAATTTGTCCCAATCATTAGTGATCTTCCATTCAAAATAAGACTTAGATATATGAAGAGACCTTGTTAAGAAACCTTTAAATAAAATCATAGATTTGGAGTCACTCAAAAGTCTAAAAAAATGACCAAGATATTGAGAGAGTTATGCACTTGTGATCACTGAATCTAGTATTTGCTCGATTAGGTCAAACTTGTTGAGCCCACCTTGAATCTTTTGATATTTCTTCACAAAATAAGGCATGATGAATCATAAGAGGCCTTGAAATGATGTTTTATTGAAGCACACTCAAAGATGGAGAATTAGTTTCAATAAATCTTGTTGAAGAAGGCATTTAAATAAACACATGAACATATCTTCTGGATGAATTCCTCCACTAACTTTGAGGAGATCTTGACCTAAATAAAATGAGAGATTTCTTTGAACCACAAATATTTGATACCATAGATATAGACTTGAAGCTTTATCTCTTAAAATTCATTAGAGAACCATTTGATTGAGAATCACCTCTCAAACCTTATATTAGATGGTGAGATATGCAATTGTGATCACCTACAATATAAACATTCAAAGAAACATATATACACATATTGATGTTAGTTAAAAGAACACATACATAAGATACACAATTAAAGGTGCTTAGTAATCCCTCAAGAGAAAACTTAAAGATAGGATAACAAGAGAAATAATCCTAATGTATGTGTCTTGAAGCATTGATAAAAGCGAGATGATGAGAAATCTTAGGGGGGAAAATTGGGGTATAACAAGAAGCCCTTACTGAGGATGGCAGGAAAATGAGACATCAAGTTTAATGATTTTTCTTTGCCTGGAGCCAGGATCATTTTGATTGACTGACTGAGGAACATATCGTCCATCCTGACGACTTGGAGGAGGATGACTGGGTAAGCTACAACAAACTGGTGGCTTTCATCGATAGCTTTGTCCCCGTACAGTGCATGACCAAGTGTTGGGAAGTCATTCATGACGAGGACATGGAGCATATGCTTACAGCTCGACTTATTAATACGAAGGGCTTCTTGATTGTGCTACCTACGAGGAGGCCCTAACACTGTTAGGTAGCTTTTGCATTGTTGTTATATCATTATTTTTTTTCTTTGTTTTACTGACTTATTTTCATTGCTTATTACAGATAAAATGCCCAACACACGAGAGCGTATGGTTAAGCTAGTAGTATCAAACAAGTCGAAGCAGTTGAATAAAATTCAGATTCCGAAGAGCGGTACGAGCAGCATTATGGTTCCGCCTCATATGCGTTTGAGGAATTCCTTTTTTACTCCTCCTGGCGAGCATCCTGCCCCCAAGAAGGTGACCTCGGCTCGAAAGCGTCATCGTGTGGGGAGCGATCATGTTGACTTGGGTGTGGAAGGCGCTATGGACATGTTCGAGCTACCTCCATGTTAGTTTCACCAGGGTTACTTTGAAGGGGACCCTCTTTAAAGGTTCCTCGAGCAAAATCCCTACATTTGGAGAATATCGATCAACCAAGCAAAAGGAAAACCCTTGTTCAGGACGGTGCTGATCTGACGAGGATCCTGGAGCTGGAAATGATCCATATTAAGGATGGGACTTCCTTTGTTAAGGAGGTGTAGGATACTCGTGCGACCCACGTTGTGCTCCAAGATAGTTGACCAAGCTGAAGTTCGATAAAGAGGAGCTGGAAAAAGACAAAACAACATTGACCGAGCAGACTGAAAAGCTGGCCAAGTTGAAAAAGGAGTTTGAGGATAAGGTCACTGCTTTGGACACTGATGCAGCCTCGACCAAAGATGAGACCGAGGAGCTGAAGTAAACAGAGGACCCGTGCTTAGTTGGTTTCCTTCCTCCGTGTGGCCGAGGATGGTTACGAGGCCATTGGCTTGGAAAGTTTTAACAATGCAGTAGAGCATCTAAAAATTGATATTCCTGATGTTCAGCTTAAGATGGTCGGGACCATGTTTCTCTACAGCGTGGTTGATGGGAAGATCGTGGTCCCCGAGTTCCTCAAGTATGGTCAAGAAGAGGGAGGGGGCGTGAAACCTAACCAAGGGGAGCCTGTCTACAAAGAGAAACCGCATCCCAACAACTAATGACTTTCTATGTTATTTTATTTTTGTTAGGCATGCATGTCGTAGTTTGTAACATTTGTTTTGGGGGCTTTTTCCCAATTTAATGTAACACTCAAACAACTTCGGTCCTTTTGGCCGTTACTTTGGTTATTTCTGGATGGGGGCTTGATCCTCTTTATGTAATAATTTTGAAAATTGCAGTCTTTGTTGGCCGTTTCGATTTTAACTTGATAT